TCCTCCAACTCCAGATGGGGCGTTCCTGCAGGAACCCCAGGCCCCCGGTGGCGTCCTTGCCTGGCTCTCGGCTTGCTTCTGCCTTCTCAGTTTTGCCCCTTCCTAGATCTGAGACCTCAGACAGAGGAGGTAACTTTTTGAAGCCTCACCCATGAAACGGAGTTAATAGTACGCCCTACCTCTTTGGTTTATGAGGCTAAGTAAAGGCACGGAGAGCCTCTGCACGGCGCCTGGCTCCTAGGGAACGCTCCGTGCCCATGAGCCGAGTGGTTCGGGGTCTCGCTGATCATGATGGGGGGCAGCGCTGGGTTGGGGAGCAGAGCGAGGCGTTGGCCCGGCTCTCCTGGCAGACCACGTTGGGCACTGCCCGCTGTCTGCCCGGCGCCGTGGGGAGCGCCGGGGAGAGAGGGGCGGATGAAACGGGCTTTCACAGGGAGACGTGCGGAAACACGTTGAGCCGCTGCAGCCCCGTGAGTACTGGGTGGAGGTGTGTTCTGGAGGCCACCGGAGCCTGGAGCCAGAGTGCTCGGCCCTGCGGTGGGTGTCCGGGAAGGCCCAGGAAGGAGATGTGCCGTTCGCTGGCTGTTTTTTTGAACAGGTGAAACTCACATAACATAAATTAACCATTTAAAAAAAAAAAAGATTTTATTTGATAGAGATAGCGAGAGCGAGAGTGTATAAGCAGTAGAGGGAGAGGGAGACGCAGGCTCCCTGCTGAGCAGGAAGCCCGATGCGGGGCTGGATCCCAGGACCTTGAGATGGTGACCTGGATGCTTCGCGGACGGAGCCCCCCAGGTACCCCTGAAATTAATCATTTTAAAGTGTGCATTGGCATTTAGTACGTTGGCAGTGTTGTCCAAGCGTGGCCTCTGTCTGAAAGTCTTTCCCCCACACCGAAAGGAGACTTGTCCCTACACAGCAGCTGCACCCCTGCCCCTGGCAACCACCGGTCTTCATTCATTCAGAACATTTACCTGCTCAGGATGTTTCATAGAAATGAAATTATACAGCGTGTGACCTCTTCTGTCTGTCTGCCTTCCCTGCGCACCTGCTCTGCAGGGTTCCTCCGTGTGGGAATAGGCATCAGAACCTCAGCCCTTTTCATGGCTGAATCATATTCCATGGTGTGGCTGGACCTGAGCAGGAGGGATAGTAGGAGCTGGGCAGATGGGGCGGGGCCTGCGGGGGCTCTGCAGGTCCAGGCTGTGCGTGCCGGAAGGATTGGGGGTGTTGGTGAGTGGTACGCAGCACGGTACTGCTGGATCTTAGGTTAGGGTGGGGATCTGGCCTCAGTTTCCCTGCCTGTGAAAGGAAGTCTCCTGAGGTTGGTGGCGTTGGAGGTAATAGGGAGGGAGAGTCTGGGATCCTGTTGCTGCTTCTCAGGGTCTGCGTGGAGGATGGGACTTTCTTGCCCTTTCCTCGTCTTTCCCCGGTGATTCCCTCCTGTTCACATCTGCCCTCATTCCTGTGGGTACCTGTCTTTCGGCCCTACCGGAGGTCAACTTCCCCATCTCTGAAATGACCTGACATTTCTTCTCTCACCATCTCCAGGTTGGGAGCCTTGTTCATGGGGAGGTTTTAGTAGCGGAGGTGAGGGAAAAGCCTGGGCGTGAATCCTACTCAAAACATGCCCCCCCCCCACTGCAGCCCCCCTCCCCCAGCCTTCCCTGCTCTAGCCCGCCTCCTGGTGACGTGACCCAGATAGCCCTCCTGTGATCCGGAGAGAAGTGAGGTGGGTCGAGGAGAATCTTTCTGTCCCTTGCTCCACGCTGCTTGGTTTGGAGTAGGAGGCAGAGGCCTTGTGTGGTGGAGCCCTTTGGAAATGAGGTGTTGCTGTGTCTGTCTGGTGCCCCTGGTGAGGCTGGTAATTATAGACAGGACAGCCGGGAACGGGTTTGGGAGAAGCAGGCTTGGAATCAGCAGAGCCAAGGACCTCCTGGTAATCAGGGTGGGCCGTGAGGGAAGAGGAGGGAGAAGCTGGGGGCTGGGGTGGGATGAAAGACTTGGGGTCCCCTTACCCAGCCCCTGCACACACAGCCGGGCTTAGCACCTATGGGAGAGTGGGGGGGCTGACTGGAGCCCGGCCCGGTCTCTGTAACCCGGTCTCTGTAAGTGTGGAAGGAGGGAGGAGAAGAGGGGGATGGGGGGACTGGGGCCAGCCCCCCACCCTGAACCCAGGAAGGAGACAGAGAACGGGAAGAGGGGTTTTGGCTGCTCTCAAAGTCAGTGCTTGGCTGTGGTGGAATTAGGGTGGGGTCGGGGTCCCTGGGGGCTGGGGCCAGTGCTCTAGCCAGAGGTGATTCCGTCTTATTCTGGCTGGGGTCTTTCTCACAAGGAGGCCATAGGAACCGGAAGTGGAATGATGGCGGGTGCACCCCGTAAAGGAAGAAGAGGTGGGAACTGACGTTTTATTGTTGCCGACTCCATGATGTTCTATGTACGTTATTTTGTGGAAAACTCTTAACCTTCTGAAGTAGGTGCTATTCCTCCATTTTACTGGCCTGAAAACTGAGGTTTAGAGAAGGTGAGCGGCATGCCCCCCGGAGGCTCTTCCGTTTCCCACAGTGCCCCTTCCGCCCGCCCCTGCCTCCTTCCGGTGGAATCTGACTTGCTCATTATTGCCTTTAATCTTGAACTTGAATAGCTGGCCCGTCTCCTGGAAGGTGGACATGAGTTTCCCTGTCAGCTCCAGGAGAGACGGCTGCGTCTGAGGCTGGGCCTGAGGCTGGGCCTGGGGGGTCTCCTGGAAGAGCAGCACCTCCTGGTCAGGAGCCGGGGGCAGGGCTGCAGCCTGGGCAGAACCTGGCCAGGGCCCGGCCTCTTCCTCTCTGCGGGCCCCTTCACACGTGGCGGGTGCTGGCCGCTCCAGCCCGTGGGGTGTTGTCTGTGATTGAGAGGGGCCTGGCCCTTGTTTGTAGTGTTTTCCAGCAACCCCCCAAATATCCCTCGGACCTCCGCTTTCACCAGAGGGCTCCTGGCTCCCCGACCCTGGGCAGAAGATAGTGTGAGTCTGCGGAGGGGCCTCTGGCTTTTTAGGGTAACTGGGGGTTGGACGGGAACAGGTGCAGAGCCCGAGGTGTGAATGTGGTAACTTAAAAAACAACCGAGTGTGAACGGAGACACTGTTTTGTCACGTGCTTTGCTCCAGGACGGGAGGTGGCAGATAGAAGGGCTGGGGTCCACGTGAGTTCTCCCGATCCCGGCTCCTTCGGAAGAGGGAGACCTCAGGTGGTGACTTAGTCAAGATGGTGGAGGTCGGTTGGTACGCGGGCCTGTCAGCTGGCCTGGTTTTCCTGTGCAGGAGCTGGGTCACTTGCCGGATCTCGGCCCCTGGGCCGAAGTGTGAGGGGAGGGTTTCCAGAGTGGGGAGAGCCAGGCCTGCCGCCCGCGCCCTCTGTCCCGCTGCGTCACACCCGTAGGCGCACCCTGCTGCTTCTCCCGTACAAACCAGCTTTCGTAGTCTGTGGCCCTCGCTCCCAGCTCCCCCACCACATGTCAGCCCCAGGGCCGCTGGATTCCCCTCCCCAAGTAGCTGCTTGCCACCTCCTGCTCCATGGCAGAGGCTGGCCCAGCAGGCTGGGGGCCTCCTGGAGTCAGGGTCGTGGGGGCCTACCCGAGACGGTAGGCTATGGAGAGAGGCGTTTTGGGTTCGGCAAGGCTGGGGGTGTGGAGCGCACAGGAGCTGATCTGTGAGCAGCCTGCTCACCTCCTGTGGTCCGCCTTCTCCTGTCCCTGAGGACAACTCGAGGTGCCTGTTTTCCTTCTTGGCTCTTCCACAGCTCACCTGCTGGGCAGGTAGGGGCCAGTCCTTCACCCCAGCTGAGGGAGGGAGGAAGAAGTTCGGAGCCTGGCGGGTGGGAATTGTGGGGCCAGCCCGGTGGGTGGAAATGAAACCAGGAATCCGGGCACCTAGAAGCCCTGGCTCCCTTCTCCCCGCGCCTGGCACCCTGTCTCCCCTCTGGCCCCCTACCTGGGACAGGTGCCAGAATGATTACTCACCCTTTCTGCAGTCTGCCCTCCCCCGGCCCAGTGTACCCTTCTCCGCTGGCTGAGGCTAGGGAACGGGGTGCTGGGGTGCGGGTGCATGGTGTGTTGGGGGACAGAGACGTTCTGCGAGCAGGGTTGGGGGTGGGGGAGCCAGAGAGGAAGCCATGCAGGTCTCTGCAGAACCTGCCTGGCCGGGGTGGGTGGAGCTGGGTGGGGCAGGCAGGAGCCCGTCCAGGTTTCAAAGGGGGCTAGGAGTGTGGGTGTATGTGTGTCTGTGTGTCAGTGTGTCTGTGGAGGACAGACCTTAGATGGAGGAAAACTGAGGAAGTAGAGGAGGAGCGCTTGGCTCTGGCTCCCCCAGCTCCTCTTCCGTGAGATGCAGCCTCAGGTGTCCTGGCCAGGAGCCCGGTGTGTGGGCTCTCCCCAGCGGGGCTCCTTGCACTGGGGTCCGGCCGTGCGCATCTGCACTGGAAGCACAGTCACCACGGGGACCCAAGCACAGCCGTCCCTGCTTTTCAGCCCAGGGAGGAGAAGGGTCCTGCCCCCGCCCTGGGGCTGGGAGAATGGTGAGCTCATGTCTGGGGCTGTCCTGGGAGAGTGCCTGGTTAGTGGGGGTGGGGGGGCCTTCCCAGGCCGGCCCCTTCCTCCTCCTCAGCCCTCTGAGATCCAGCTGCTCCCTCTGGTCTCACCCAGGGACACTGGGACCCTTTTCATGTGCAGGAATGGGGAGGGGGGGAGCACATCTCCAGTGCATTTTTGGTCTAGGGCCTGGGGCTGTTCCTGGCCTTTCTTGCCTTGATTCTTCTTGTGATGGGGAAACCCAGCATGGCCTCCTGGGATGGAGGCTTGTCCACCACTGGGGACTGGCTGGGGACTGGCTGGGGGAGCATCAGGAGCCTCAAGTGGGTGGGGGACGGCTGGGGCAGAAACCAGCCCTTGGAGGGGAAGGGCTCCGGTCTGCACTGTCTCGGCTTGGGCCTGTCTGGTCTGTCCCTTGTCACTGGTGAGAAGAGCGGCTGGGGCAGGGGTCCATGCGAGTTCTCCCGATTCCGGCCTTACAGTCTTGGCCACTCCGAGGACCGGGCGTCTCGTGGAGGAATCTGGTGTCGCTCTTGAGAGGAGCACGCAAAGCCAGAGCTTTAGTGAGGTCTGACGGGGGAGGCCAAACAGGCGTGCCCGAGATGTGGCCGAGGTGTCTTTCTCTGGGATGCGTGTTTTTATCTTGGAACATAGGGTTGCCTCTGGAAGGCCTCCTTCCTCCAAGTTAGTGCTGGACGGGTTCATGCGGTTTCCTCCTGGGAGGAGGGAGAGAAGGGAGCCGGGGACTACATGGGCACAGTTAGGGGTTCTCGTACCTTACTGTCCCGTGCGGCAGCCGGATAGGTCACCACATTCACTGCCACCCCGGACCCCTCTTCCCACCGCCAGTGGTTGCCAGGGTCTGGATTGAGCACATGGATGAGTCTCATGGCAGAGAGGGGACACCACCCGTCTGAAGAAGGATAGTTATGACTTTGAGTCTCTGCCCTGCCCCCACGAGCCTCCTGACAGGGTAGGGTGCTCTGTCTTCCTTGACAGATTTCTAGTTCTTTGGACACTGGGTGGGGAAGTAGGACCCCGCTGCCACCCAGGAGGGTGGCCAGCCGGCACTTGGCGTGGGACTCACATTGATGTCCTTGGACAGCGGGGCTGTGGGGGGTGAAGCTGAAGGGACCACGGGACCAGGGCACTCACACGTCCACACCTAACTGTGGGTGGAAGCAGGAAGGGGGAGGCCGAGGCCGTCAGACCCAGGCTCTTGCGTGGGATCACAGCCCTTTAAGGGCCAGTGTCCACAGATTGCTCTGTAGGAGGGGTCCAAGGAGGCAATCACGCCCCTTCCTTCCAGGTCTGGGACGGAGAAGAGGAGGGCCCTCTGTCTCAACAGTGGGCCTATCGAGAGCGCTGCCCCGTCAGAGTCAGGAAAGCTGTTGGCATCTGTCCTCTTGCCATCTTCTTCCCGCCGCAGTGGGAAGGTCCAGCCCAAGCACCTTCCACGGTGCAGCTGGTCTACTACCCCAGCCCCGTCTTCCCTAGAGATGAGGAATAACATGTGCTCTCTCTAGGTACATGTTTGTGTCCGTCCCCTCCGCACGCACCTTTCCTTTCCGGGCTGAGTCACGCCCCCCAGCCCCACGCGCACTGCTGCCCCGCCTCCGTTCCCCACCCCAGGCCTGAAGGAGCTGGGACTGGGTGGTGGGGTGGCCCTGGTCCAGACGGCGGGCGGAGGAGGTCGTGTGCCTAGCCACCTGGCGGTTGGCCGTCGGTCCCCAGCACCTGCCCCACAACGGGGTGCCCGTGTCTGCGTCCAGTGTCTTGCCCACCTGAGCTGTGCCTCTGAGGGGGGCAAAGGGGAAGGGTCTCATCTCAGTCTGCCTTTTGGCCAACACCAGCCTCCCCCTCTGTAACCCCCCTACGCCCCCCAAGGCCTTGTTCCCTCTGCCTGTTGCCAGGTTCTGAGTGTATTTTTTCCAAAGGCCTCTGATTGTTTCCTGAAGAAACCCGATCCCAGGGCTCAAACAAAAGCTGGGGCTGCCAGAGGAGAAACCCCATTCTCTCCCCCTCTGTCCCTAACCCTCCCCCCCCACCTTCACAACCTCTCTCGCTTTGGATGCTGGGTATGGGTTCCAGGACCCGGCTGCCATCACCTAGGCAACAGGGGGCTTTGGTTGCCATGGTGATCAATGTGGGAGAAGCTGGGCAGCCGGGACAAAAGCCCCTACATTCCCCCCCCACCCCTCCCCCCAATCCCCTTGGGATGGTACTGAGACACATTCCATTAATTTTATTTCTGAAAGGCCTTTGCGGGGAGAAGGGTCTTGTTTTTGTGACAGGCTCCCTTCCCCTCCCTCTCTCCTCTCTGGCCTCCTTTTAACCCCAGATAATCCATGGTTGGTTTGAGCAGGGAACCGAGTGAGTGTGATTTGTGTGTCCTGGTGGTGGGGGCAAGGTGAACACAACAGGACACGTTTCCCTTTCCTAGCCTCCCAACCGCAAACCAGTCCCCCCCACCCCCACCCCCATCCACACCGGGTCTTGCTGCCCTCAAGGTCCACCTCTGACATTTCCACTTGTTGGTCTCATCCAGGGCTCCCCTCCCCCACCCTTTTCCCTGGGAACCCGCCCACCCGGGAGACCCTCCAGACCCCTGATTCCTGAGCTGAGGAAACAAGGGCAACTTCTCCCCTCGTCCTCCCTCACCTCCCATCCCTCCCCTAGCCTCTCCAGACTTAGTTCCCTGGGTGCTCGAGGGGACAGCAGGCAAGGTTCTGAGGAACCGGGCTCCTCCGGGCCACTCTGGTAGGGGAAGGAGGAGCACGTTTGGATGCTTTCTGGGGCATCTCGAGTTGGGTTGGAAGGGGTGGGTGGAGCAGGCCAGGGGAGCAGGGCGTATGCTGGGTCTTTAATACGTGGCTGGGAGGAAGGTGGGGGCTGAGGCTGAGCAGCTCGGAACAAAGGGCTGGGAGGGGCTGGCACCCTTGTCTGGTTTGAAATTTATCTGTAGGGGAAACACAATGGCATCGGCTTCCCTCCTGGGTGTGTTTGAAGTGGTCCTGGCCAGGGCTGTGTGTGTGTGCGTGTGTGTGCGCGCGTGTGAGACTTCTTTATTTAGTAGTCCCAACAGCAGGATTTATTTATACTACCTCTCTCCCAAGTCTCAGAGGAGGTGTCTGGGGATCGAGCGTGGGCGACCCTGGAGCCAGAGCGTATTAATTCCTTAACTAATTCTAACTGAGCCGTACGGAGAAGCATTTCACCCCAGGGTCCTCACAGCAGCCCCATCAAACACGCATCGTTTTCCTGTTGTACTGATGAGCCTACCAGGCTGCAGAGCACAGAGAAGTTAGGTAACTTGCCTGTGGTCACGGAGCGGGTGGCCGGGAGAGTTGGGGTTTGAATGCAGAGAGTCGGGGTTTGAATGCGGAGCCTCGGATGCCACTGGCTCCGGGAACGTGAGCATTAAGGGCAAGACTGAGAGGGTGCGGAGTCCAGACCCAGGCGAGGGCAGGTCTGTTCCCCTTCACTTCTCCACCCCCTGTCTGGAGCCCACCTGTTCTCTTGAACCTCCCGGTGGAGTTCAGTTTGGGGACGAGAATAGGCTGCAGACGGAGGGCGGGCACCTATGGAGATGTGAGCCCGGAGGAAGGGTTCTCGGGCGCCGGGCTGCAGGAGCCCCACGTGTCGTTTGTGGACGGGGTTCCTGTTCACGGCCACAGTATTGAGAAAGGGTTTGGCTTGGGTTGAGGCCCTGTGTCTCTGACCCCTAAACGTGTGTCGGTCGCTTGCTCGCCTTGACGTGGGGCTATTGACAGGCATGGCGAGGCCACGGGGCTGCCTCTAGGTAGCTGGTAGGGGGCCAGGGAATGGGGGATGGACTTCATCTCCCACAGTCGTGGCGGGCTCCCTGGGAGTCAGAGCAGCGGGTGCATTCCCAAGGTCAGTGCCGGTTTCTTGCCGCGTGCCCCTGGGAGGAGGGTGGACACAGCCGGGTCTCGGTCGTGCTTTGCGTTCTCCGGCTGCCGAAGACCTGGCTTAGTTGGAGAAAAGTTAACGACGACACGAAGGCAAGCCCGTTTCGGTTCTGAACATCGTTGACTTTATGACAGCATGTGACCTCGAAACGCCCTCCTGTTCTCAGTGCCACGGCAGCCCTTCTGGCCCTCCTGCTCCTCCGGCCTTGTCGGCCCCTTTGCCTGCTCTTACATCCTGGGATTCCCAGATCCCCCCTACGCATTCCTCTTCGCAGGGGTCCCACCCATTCCCACCTCGCACCCTGTCAGCACCTCCAGCTCAGTCTCTCCTGGGTCTGGCTCCTCAGGAACCCCACTGCCTCCCTGACCGCCTGTCTCGTGGCCTTGAACTCAGCCCGTTGGAAACGGAGCTCCCAGGGTTGGCCCCTCCTTCCCCCACGTGACAGCACCGCCATCTACTCTCTTGCGCGGGCACTCCCTGCCCTCAGCCAGACCCCAGTGGCCCTGCTGATCCTGCCAGCATGTCTCACACACGGCTGTCCTCACCTCCAGGCCTGCACGCCTCCGTCCCCGTGTTCCCACGTCTGCTCTCCTCTCCCCTGTCCCTAGGGGCCCGCACAGCTAACATCCTTCACAGGCTTCCCCTTGCGCTTGGAATAACATGTGAGCTCCTTGCCTGGCCCAGGATCTCGGATAAGCTTGGCCCCTGGCTACCTGTCACCACCCTCTTCCTCAGCTGCAGTCCCACTGGCTCTTGCGGGCCGCGATATTCACCGAGCTCTGCCGCCCTTGGTCTTCCCGAGCGCGCCTCCCTGCCCTTCTCCTCCACTCTGCCTGGTTCGCTGCTGCTCTCCCTTTAGGCTCAGGTGTCATGTTCTCCGAGAAACTTTGCAGAAGCACTCAGTTTCTGGTCGCGGCCCCCAGAGCCGTCCCTCCTGGTTTTCCGCTCTTTTCCTGTCATCACTGCAGTGGTTAGTTACTCGTATTCTGGTTTCCTCAGTCAGTGTGCACCTGCCCCACTCAGCCCGGGAATGCGGTGTCAGGTCTCCGCCGCACCCCCGCGGCCTCGCGGGGAGCACAGTGCACGGCGGTCCCTGAGAGTGAGACCACGGGCTGGCGAGTGAGGCTGGGAAATGCGTGTGTGCATGTCGGAGTCGTGTGCGCGACAGAGGAGGGACAGAGCAGGGACAGAGGGGAGATGGCACCACGTTGACTGTTGGTCGTAGAGGGCTGGGCTCTGGGGGCCCCGGCAGGATGTGGGTGGGGGGTGGGGAAGCAGGGCTCGCTCTGCTCCACGGAGGAGCGTAGAGGTGAGCGTGCAGAATGAGCAGGCCACCCGGAGTGCACACAGCCAGGACCTTGCCTCGACCTTGCCTCGACCTCGCCATTTACGGACGTGAGGCTTTTAGAGAATGGTTCCTGCTGCCTTCTGCTCCCCACTTGCCTCCAGCGTTATCCACAGTTTCCATTCCTGATCTTGTCCCCTAGTCTGTGTGCGTGCACGTGCGCGTGCACACACACACACACACACACACACCCCGTCTCTGAGCCTCAGGAGGAGCCGCCAGCTTGACCCGGCTGTTTGATGTAGATGCTGGCAAGATGGTGACAGGAGCCCTCCTCCTGTGGGCATCCTTGGAAGCAGTGAGTCAGGGGACAAGGAGTTGAGGGGGAAGGAGAGGCCTGGACAGCAGCCAGCTGCTTTCTGTTCTGTGAGGTCTCTGTGGCTCCAGCCTGTTGGCTGGCCAGGACCTGCTCTCTGAGCCTTGGGTTTCCTGGCTGAGAGTGAGGAAAGCGCTGCCCTGGCTCTTGGCCCCGCGGCGTGCAGGGTCCGGTCGTTCCTAGTGGCCTTTGCCGGCCGTCTTTCCGGCGCCCGCTGGCCCAGCCAAGGAGTGCTCTTTGTGGGAGGCACGGTCGGAGGGACTGGGTGCGCTGGACAGAGCGGGAACCTGGAGGGACTGTTCTGAGGCCTCGCCGAGGCCGTCTGCGGAAGCCCTTTGGGGATGGTCCTCCCGGCCCTGACTTCCCCGGGGGCTCCAGCTGCTAACCGGCTGCGTCCGTTTCTCAGGAACGCCGCTTGACTTTCTCTGAGACGAGCCCACCCGTCCAGCAAGATAGAGTCCCTCAGGGTGACGGTTGATTTCCTGAAGGTGCCCCTCGGCCTGAAGAGGCCGGTGCTGAAGGAGGCGGCTGTGGGGCCCCCCAGAAGGCCCCAGCCCGTGGCCCTGGAGCGCTCCCGGGCCCGGCGTTCGGACGCCATGGACACCGAGTCCCAGTACTCGGGCTACTCCTACAAGTCCGGCCACTCCCGCAGCTCCCGCAAGCACAGGTGGGCCCGCGCGGGGGTGACGTGCGTGCTGCAGGGCGTGTTGGGGGTGCGCGACAGGTGGGTGTGCACGGGGGCTGCTGAGAAGACCCAGGTCCCCCCTCTGATCTTCTCTGCCCGCTCCCCTGGCCTCCTGCTGCAGAGACCGCCGGGACCGGCACCGCTCCAAGAGCCGCGAGGGGAGCCGCGGCGACAAGTCCGTGACGATCCAGGCTCCGGGGGAGCCCCTGCTGGACAACGAGTCCACGCGAGGGGATGAGCGGGTAAGCCTCGGTGCGCATGGGGTCTGGGCCAGGGGACTTCAGGCTGCTCCGTGAAGCTGGAGGTCCACCGACGGGGCAGGGCCTGGAAGCCTGGGCTCTTTGGACAGAGGTCCTCTCAGGGAGGGCATCTGTGTCAGACCTCGTTCTGCTGGTGCCCAAGGTAGGACCCTGCTTCAGTAGAATTCAGGGAGTTTCTGTAGCGATCCCTTTGGAAGCAGCAGCCTCTGCCTCCCGCTGTCAGAGAGGTAAGGTGGCCTGGGCTGTGTCCTGGGAATCGCCTGGCTCCCCTGGGCTGAGGCCCGCCTGGCGCGTGGGCTGGGAAGCGCCAGCAGGAGGGCCCTGCGCGGCAGGTGAGGTCCGGGAGTGTGGGCGGAGTCTCCCTTGAGCCGGGAGGCGTGGGCACTACCGCGCCCTCTGTTGTTCACTTGCAGAATCGCGTCGCCTGGGCCTGGAGGGAAGCAGGTGTGGGCGGAGTCAGCAGAGAAAGGAAGGGGAGAAGGGGGGGAAGGGGGCGCCCGGAAGGACGGTGTCATTCCCAGAGGGCCCGTGAGCCGGTTGCTCCTGCTCTAACCTCTGTGGCCCACTGTGCTCGCCAGCAGGGAGGCCAGTGCTGGATTAGGGCAGAGGTAGGATTTGAGGTGACTCTGGGGTTGCCTGTGTCTCACGTGCCTCCCGCGCTTCCTTCTGGGGCTGGAGACTCCCAGCTCCCTTCCCCTCACAAGAAATTTGTGTCTGACATGGGGACTTCCTGGGTCTTGGGAACAGATGAGTACCTAAGGGAAGTATTCTTTCTCCCTCTTTCCCAGTCCTGTCCTCTCCCTGAGACCTGGCCTCCCGAGTTCTTGAAGGGACCCCGAGACATGTTCAGCTCACCTGCTGTGGGGGAGGAGGCCACAAACCCCTGATGCTTGGAGAGGGTAGGCAGCGTGTCTGCGGGTCAGCCTAGAGTGAGGACTAGACCCAGTTCCTCGAGCTGAACATGGTCAGTGCACACACTTCCTTCCATCAGATCAGACTCTCCTCCCATCCTTTGGAAGGCCCAGTCACTGACCCTGCCAGGCATCTCCTATACCCCCCTGTCGGTGTCCTAGTCCTGAGACGCTGTCCCCATGCTGTCCAGGAGTGAAGGGTGTGGGCACTGATGGCCACTGGGCCCTGGGGCTCCTCTGTGGGATGGTGTCTGGCCACAGCAGAGATTGCTTGAATGAACCCCACTCCGAAGGACACTGGGGACCGCAGCCCGTCTACCCCCTTGCCTCCAGCAATAGGCAGCTGCTGTGCTGCGGGCCGACCAGAGACCCGGGGTGGCCCTAAGTGTGTCCGTCTTCCATGCCCTACACTGATCACTTGCCTTCCCCCTCTTTGCCCCCCAGGGTCCTCTGGCCTTTGCCATACTGCTTTGTTTCAGGTCACCCCCTTAGTCAGAAACCTAAAGTGGCTCTCGAGGTCTGGGGAGTAGTGCTTCTGGCTTAGCCCAGTTTGCACGTGGCCTGCTCCTGCTCTAGCTGGCCGTGCCTGACTCTCCTCCTGGCACGCGCACACTGCGTGTCCTCGGGGCGCCTCAGCTCCCCCTGCCAGCCCCCAAACGTTTGAGTGATTCATGGGGGCCTTGTTAAAATGCAGGTTCCCGCGCAGTCGGCATGGGCTGGGGCCTGAGACGCGCGTTTCCAGCAGCTCCCAGGAGGTGTCTGCGCTGCTGGTCCACAGACCCTGTTATGGGTAAATAGGACTTAGGGATTGTTGAGTGAATTCAGTGATTCTCAGTTTTGGATGAACGTGAAAATCATCGGGTTTTTGTTTTTTTATTATTTTTTTAAAGATTCTGTTTATTTGAGAGAGAGCGTGAGCGAGCATGAGCCGGGGGATGGGCAGAGGGAAAGGGAGAAGCCGACTCTCCACCGTGGGGAGGGCTGGACCCCAGGATCCAGGGGTCATGACCTGAGCTGAAGTCAGATGCTTAACTGACTGAGCAACCCAGGCGCCCCCAAATCATCTGGTTTTTTTTAAAAAGGTGGTTTTCCTCTTGGGTGAGATCTGGGCATCACTGTTTTTTCCCGAGTTCTCTGCTTTGTGCCCTTTGGTCCAGGTCTCAGAGGTCCCAGCCCTGCAGAGGCCAAGCTTGGCCAGAGTGGATCTTGGTAATGCTTTGGTGGTTGCACATGGGCTGATGGCCGTCTCTTCTCTCTTGTGCTTTGCTGTCTGTCCACCCTCCCTGCTCCTCCCCACTCCTCCCCTTCCTTTCCCCTCCCTTTCCCCTATCTCCCTCCTCCTCCCCCACCTCCCTCTCCTCTTCCTTTCCTCCACCTCCTCTTCCCCCTCATTACCCCCCCCTCCTCTCCCCTCTTCTCCTCCCCTCCTCCTCCGCCCCCTCCATTCTCTTCCCCCTCCTCTTCTCCCTCCCGCTCCTCCTCCCCAACCCCCCTTCGATGCCTCTGCCCCTCCTGCTGTAGGATGACAACTGGGGGGAGACGACCACAGTAGTAACGGGCACCTCAGAGCACAGCATCTCCCACGATGACCTCACGCGCATCGCCAAGGACATGGAGGACAGTGTCCCGCTGGACTGCTCCCGTCACCTGGGTGTGGCAGCGGGGGCCACGCTGGCGCTGCTGTCCTTCCTCACGCCTCTGGCTTTCCTGCTGCTGCCCCCGCTGCTGTGGCGGGAGGAGCTGGAGCCCTGCGGGACGGCCTGTGAGGGCCTCTTCATCTCTGTGGCCTTCAAGCTGCTCATCCTGCTGCTGGGCAGCTGGGCCCTGTTCTTCCGGCGGCCCAAGGCCTCGCTGCCGCGCGTCTTCGTGCTGCGCGCACTGCTCATGGTGCTGGTCTTCCTGCTCGTGGTGTCCTACTGGCTCTTCTACGGCGTGCGCATCCTGGATGCCCGCGAGCGCAGCTACCAGGGCGTCGTCCAGTTCGCCGTGTCGCTTGTGGACGCCCTGCTCTTCGTGCACTACCTGGCCGTGGTCCTGCTGGAGCTACGCCAGCTGCAGCCCCAGTTCACGCTCAAGGTCGTGCGCTCCACCGACGGCGCCAGCCGCTTCTACAACGTGGGCCACCTCAGGTGTGGGCGCGGGCCTGGGGGGAGGCTGGGGGTCTGCAGGGCGCATGGGAGAGAGCCGGGCGTGGGGGCGGTGGTGAGGAGCTGGGGGGCCGCAGGCCGCAGTAGGTTTTCAGCAGCGCAGGGTCCTGGGGCAGGTGGGGCTGGGAGTTGGGAATGGGGAGAGAACAAGCAGTGAGCCACTGGGGACCTCAGAGAGGGCTGGACCAAAGAGGAGAAAGGTGTGGGGCGTGAACAGGGGATTTTGGGAATCACTTCCCTGGCCTTCTTGGAGGCACAGCCTTGGTGAGCCCTCAAGTGCGCAGTCGCTGGGATGAACTGACCGGAGGACGGACCCCCAGAGGGAGAGATAACGGGAGAGTTCTTCTGCCCCTCCCTCTGGGCCATGCAGAGTTATCTGGAGCACCTCCTGGTCCCGGAGGGAATCTTGGGGGACTCTTGGGTGGTCCTTTGTGGGGATCCAGGCCCCGTGCCCTTTCTTCCCTGGGCTTCAGTGCAGCAGAGAAGGACTAGCAGGCCCTGGACCCCGGGGAAGGCTTGAGAGCCTGGTAAGTCGACCTTGGGCCCTGAGCCAGGCTTCTTGGAAGCAGCTTGTCCCTGTGCTTGTCCTTTCCTGCCCTGCTGACCTGCCCTGATGTCTCCCTCCCTGGCACCCCTTGTCGGTCCCTTCTCTGTCCCCCTCCCGCCGTCTCCCCCACAGCATCCAGCGAGTGGCCGTGTGGATCCTGGAGAAGTATTACCATGACTTCCCTGTCTACAACCCCGCCCTCCTCAACCTGCCCAAGTCCGTCCTGGCCAAGAAAGTGTCTGGCTTCAAGGTGTACTCCCTCGGAGAGGGTGAGCGGCCCTGCTCCCCTGCCCTCCTGTCCACCCCAGACAGGGCGCGGTACCTGCTCCCCGTTTCTCTCAGCCTCTTCCCTTGCTTTCCCCGGTCCCTTCTGTCATTTCCCGGGACTCCAGGCATTTGCTTGCTGTCCCCCCGTGCTGTGGCGTGTTATCCCCTGTCCCCCCATTCTGACTTCTCTGCTCACCGACCCTGGTTCTGAGCCCTCAGCTTTCTGAGCTCCAGGTCCCCCTGCACCGGGGGAGCATGTCAGGACTCCTGCCCTCCAGGGCCCTCCTGGTGGCCATCCTGTGGGCCTCTCCCAGCCGTGGCCAGGAAGGTTGGGGGTGCCAGCAGTATCGCGGGGGTGGGCACGGCCTCGTACGACCTGTAAGGTTGCCGTCTCTAGACTTCCCGGGATGGGGAGCCAGCGCGCTGAGAGGTGACCGTGCCCATCTGTCCTGCTCCTGCGCAGAAAACAGCACCAACAACTCCACGGGCCAGTCCCGGGCGGTGATTGCGGCGGCTGCTCGGAGGCGGGACAACAGCCACAACGAGTACTACTATGAGGAGGCAGAGCACGAGCGGAGGGTGCGCAAGCGGCGGGCCAGGTGGGTCCGGGCGCCGGCTGGGTGTGGGCGGGCATCTGTGCCCGGCACGAGGGCTGCGGGCTGAGCGTCTGTGTCCTGCGGCTGCCGGGACAGACCCCCGTGCTGTGCGCCGTAAACCCGCCCACGCTTCTCGGCTCACGGTCCCGCAGGTCAGGTCCTCGGTCTGTGTCAGGCCAAGGTCAGGACCACTCCCACCTGAGCCTGGGTCCTCTTCCAAGCTCCCTGGCCCCTGGAATCAGTTCCTTGTCACCTGGCCTCATGGGCAGTCGGGATAGGGCAGTTCGATGTTTCCAGCATCATCTCTACCTCCTGGAGAAAACTCTTTTAAAGAGCTTATCGGATAAGATCAGGCTGGCCAGGGTCATCTCCTTGTTTTATGATGTCCACGTCCACTGACTCGGCACTGCAATTATATTTGCAAAATGTCCCGAGCGAGCGGAATACCCAGGAGCGGGGAATCTGCTGGAGGCGAAGGAATGGGGCATCTCAGAAGTCTGCCCCCCACCGTGCAGCAGGGACCTGGCAAACCGTGGGAGCCTTGCCCACAGCAGTGGGCCTGAGGCTGGACTGGGCCTCCGAGCAGTAGCTCTTGGAGGCCTGCTCAGCTGATGGTTCCTTTTACCTGCAAAAAATGAGGTTCTGGCGCTCAGATCTTGGTACATTCTGCAGTACTGTCCTCACTCCTCCCTTTGTCCTGTCCGCATTATTATGTACAATTAAGTCAGGCCTGAAGAGTCTTTCTTGGTACCTGCTGCTGCCGTGTCCCACCGTGGCTTGTTGGGATTTCCATGGGGCCTGCGGCAGGAGAGCGCGCCCCGGGATCTGACCACCCACTGTGCCCTCTGCCCCTCCTCCAAAGGTCTCCAGGCTGTAAGGGAGGAAGTTATCCCTTCTGTCCTGACATGAGGCTGGTGTCCCCTGCCGTAGGTCAAAGACCAGCAGTGCCATTTTTTTTTTAAGATTTTATTTAATTATTTGAGAGAGAGAGAGGGAGAGCGGAGGAGTGGAGGGGTGGAGGCAGAGGGAGAAGCTGCCTCCCCGCTGAGCAGGGAGCCCAATGCTGGCTCGATCCCTGGACCCTGAGCTCATAACCTGAGCCAAAGGCAGATGCTTCACCGACTGAGCCACAGGGCACCCCTGTATGCTTGTAACGCAGATTGACTTCTTTCTCCTGCTTCCCCTTAACACGGTTCTTGAGACGCTCCCCCGCTGCGGCAGGTCCGGCATATAGCATCTCATCGCTGCGCCCGCCGTGGGTGACGGGTGACTCCCGCCTCCTCGGCCGTATTTGGATTACAGTCCTCTTCCCTCTTTGCCTGTCTCGATGGACACGGACGTTTTCATTCTCTGTCTGGTGGCCAGCCGGGGAGGGCTTCGTGTGTCTGTAGCCGTCCAGGTCTCTTGTGAATGGTGGGCTCACCTCTGCCATCCGGCCCTCGTGTTCTTGCCTTTCTCTTCCTGGTTTGTAGTCAGTTCCTTGCAAACCCACCCCCCAGATGGATGTCAGTGTTGCCCCTGCTCTGTGCCTGTTCGTGTGTTGCCCAGCGAAGCGTGACGGGGGTTCTCGGGCAGCACGGCCGCTGCACGCGAGGCTTGCTGCTCTCCCTGAGCCCGGGCCCTAGCGGTCTCCGGCTTTGACACTGGAGTCCCTGTGCTCCGCTCCCAGAGCTCTATAGCTCTTTCCTGCCTTGCCTCCCACCTGCCACTGCACCGTGTGTGTGCACGCCCCCCCCCACACCCTCATAGCCCAGCCCTTGGCTCAGGTGGGTTTGTGTGCTTCCGGGTCTCCCCACCCCGAGCCCTGACCTCGCTCAGGCTGCTGGAGGGCTGGAGCCGAGGGAAAGGTGGGAGGTGGGCGTGTGGTCCAGGCCCCTCCTGTCCCCCAGGCTCGTGGTGGCGGTGGAGGAGGCCTTCACTCACATTAAGCGGCTGCAGGAGGAGGAGCAGAAGAACCCCAGGGAGGTGATGGACCCCCGGGAGGCGGCGCAGGCCATCTTTGCCTCCATGGCCCGGGCCATGCAGAAGTACCTTCGCACCACCAAGCAACAGCCCTACCACACCATGGAGAGCATTCTCCAGCACCTGGAGTTCTGCATCACCCATGACATGACGCCCAAGGTAGGCCCACCCTGCCGCCAGCATCCTGCTGCTCCCTGCTCTGCCCACCTTCCCACGGTGCTCTCACCGCACCCGCCCCGCGGCCCTGCCTTCCGCCCCGCCCCCCGCCGTGGTCTCGTCTGTCTTCCCTGCCCCCCCATCTCGGCTACGAGTCAAGTTCGCAGGTGCTGAGGAGCAGGGGCGGCTTCTGGACTCTTCTGGGGCCCCTGAGACCTGACTCCCATCTCTCCAAGTTCTGTGCGGTTGCCATACCGAGTCCCCCCTGCCCCTTCACCACCCCCTTTGTGCTTTTTTTGAGCCATTACCCTCCCCTCCGCTGTATTGTCAGCCCCCTAGAATTGCGTCCTGAACCACTCTCGGTGAGCAGGGTGGCAGCCTCCGTGAGAGCTGATGGCAGGGGAAGGAAGAACCAGGGGGGGCTTGTGGCCTACCCTGGTGCAGGCAAGTGGCAGGGCGCAGGTCCTGACCCTGGGGGCACCCCCCTCTTCTGTGGGCTCCGCTTCCCCGTGTTTCATACGAGGGTCTGAAACAGAGGAGCTCTGCCCCTTTCTGCTCTGTTGTAGACGGTGTGGAAGCAGAGCGTGAGCTGGGGGACTTCTTGGTTGTCTCTGGAAGCCGTGCCCCCGGGCTGGGGGCATGAGGTGGTGGGTGGGTGGGAGAGACGCCCATGTAGCCCCTGGCCCCCCCGCAGGCCTTCCTGGAGCGGTACCTGGCGGCCGGCCCCACCATCCAGTACCACAAGGAGCGCTGGCTGGCCAAGCAGTGGACGCTGGTGAGCGAGGAGCCGGTGACCAATGGGCTCAAGGACGGCATCGTTTTCCTCTTGAAACGCCAGGACTTTAGCCTGGTGGTGAGCACCAAGAAGGTCCCCTTCTTCAAACTCTCCGAGGAGTTTGTGGATCCCAAGTCGCACAAGTTTGTCATGAGGCTGCAGTCTGAGACCTCGGTGTGACTGAGCCGCAGGGCCGGGGGCGCGGGCCCCTGCGGGCAGGGGGCGGGCTTGGCCCCCGTCTCCTGCCACCTTTCGGCCCCCTGCCCCCGTTTCCTTTTACTTGAATTGACTCCCCCCCCATCTGCCCCCTTCCTCCTTGGTTGCCCCACGGGAGCCTCAAGAGGCCCCTTTGTCGTCAGCAGAGCCTGGGAAGCTCGCTCTCAGTCCCCAGCCCTCACTTGGTGTCGTTGTGCAGGAAGCCGTGCCTCTCCCTCTCTCCCTCCCGGATGGTGGTCTCTCCTGAGAGGGGACAGGGCTCTCCTGAGCCCCCAGGACCCCCCCAAACCAGGTTCTGGTAGCAGTTTCTGCCTGTGGCCCTGATGAGGTGTCCCGGGGGCCCAGACATGACTCCAGAGAGCCACCGTGCCAAACTCCTCCAGATGGGGGGTCGTCCACTCCTCCTGCCCACTCAGCTGGCCCGGTACCATCGCCGAGTCCTCGGGGCAGGGTACCCATGCGTCCCCCTGACTCGGCCCGGGTCGGGGGTCTCCCTGCCGTGGTCATTGGCTTTGTCTGTCGGAGCCTCCCCTGCACAGCCACACACATGCAGAGCAAGGGGAGATCCCGCCCTTCACCCCTAAAGTCTCTGCCTTCTGTCTCTGAGTCATACGGTCTCCTGGGACCATAGCCAGACTAGGCAGAAACCCTCTGTGACCACCTTTCCTGGGCCGTGGGGGACAGTGCCTTCCCTCACTGGGTTCGTGCTGGGCAGCCACTGAGGGAAGGATGGGAGAGACCCTGGGGAACATCGCGGATCCCCACCCTGAACCTGCCTGTACCCTCGTTCCTGCCTCGCTGGGCCAGGTTTCCCCTTCCGGGGGCAGGATGGCGAGTAGATGCCAGCCCTGATTTAGTGGCTTGCCGCCCATGACCCGATGACCCCTGTGGTCTTAGACCAATGCTTTTCTTTCCTCCTTGACCCCCCCCCCCCACACCCCCGTGTGTCTTCTCTCCGCGCCAGGGACCTGTTGCCTCATCTCGTTTGGGGGGGAGCCGGTAGTTCCTCCTCATCCCCTGCCTTAAGCCCACTTCTTTGCCTCAGGGGTCTCTTTTCCTTGGCTGGCCAGGGTCCCCTCCTGTCTCCCTGCCTGGTTCTCTGGGCGCTTGTCTCCCTCAGTGCTGGGGGGAGGGGCCAGGATCGCCGCCTTCGTGGGTATCCGTCCCTCGCCCCGTTGAGCTTCTGTAGTCTCTACACCCGATCTGAATTCTCTAGAGTTTAGGTCTCTTTTTGAGCAAAATTCACCGGTCTTCTAAGACATATTTTCAATGTAAATCTGAGCCTTTCACTCAGACGTGTAGTTTTAGCCAAGGGAACTGGAACCTCCAGCCGGGATCCCCGTGGCAGACCGTTGGCGGCAGGGCTGGAGGGTGCCCCCCCGGGCCGGGCCTCTGAGTAACTCGTCGGGCCCCTTCCTGGTCCCATCTTCGGGCAGACTCACTGGTTCTGGGCACGCGGAGCGCCCCCTGGGCTCAGATCCCCACTGGTCTCTGGCCGGGGAAGCTTCCTGCCTGTGGAAGGGCAGCCCTCCTGTTGGCCTTTTCCCCCATCCTCTCTGAGAAAGCACATCTGTCCACCCACCACCTCTCAGACAAGGGCTCTTCGGCTCATGCTGACCGCCGTCCACCCGGCATTGAGTTGGGGCCTGACTTAGGCAGCGCCTGAGGGAAAGACATCCTGTCCTGGGGGTTGCAGGAAGGTATCTTTTGTTCTCTTCAAGGACTGGGTTTCAAGGACCCAGGAGTCTCTCCTGGGTCGCATTTCAAAATACCTCACTATCCTGGAAAATGGGGCCTGGATGGTGGGCAGGAGCGGGGTGTGGTGTGACGGATGGACCCGGCTGGGGCGGGCAGACAGAAGGTATCTGGGATCCTCGTTGTGGCCCTACGTTAGGGGTGGGGGAGTGTTTCTTTTCAGAACCTGCCATGTTTTTAATCACTGTGATTTTTTCATTCCTTTTTCCGAAAACAAAAGCAAACTTTCCCCCAACTCTCTAAGCACTAAGGGCTGTGACTGAGAACGGTAGTGTTTTGGTCCTTTGCGTCGGAACTGTGGTATCTTTGTCTTCTTTGATGATTATTATAATAATAATTATTTTTTTTTAAAATGTCAGGATGAGTTGTCAAGTGTTCGGCTGTGTGTGTCCTTTGCTTCTCCGCACGGGGAGCTGTCTTCATGCTGTGAACTGCTGCGGGGCGCGCCGCGGGCCCAGGCCCTCTGGGCGCTGTCCCCCCTGCTCTGCCGCTCCTGCCACGCTGGGGTTTCTTCCTCTTCTCCTGTGGGGGCCACACCTACCTGTGGCCCCTCACTGCTCCCCCACGACCCCGGGCGGGCGTGTGGCTGGGTCTCCAGCATTCCCCAGCTCCCCGCCACCAGCGCCCCGGGGATGCTGCATGTTAGGCCTTCACCTACCTTGCCACGCCGCCTGTCCCCATGGGTCCCATTTCTCTTACATGACCCTTCGCGTCCCGTTGACTCGTTTTTTCTTTTTGATCCTTCCTTGTTTCCTCCCATCTCTTCCCATCTGAGCCTTTCATCTCGCGCTCCACATCCCAACCCCGCCACGGTACCTGTGAAGAGGCAGTGGGACCCCTCAGAACCTTCTCATCTGAAATACCCCTTCCCAGAGTCTGCGCTTCTCTCCTCTGTGGCGCCCGAGGAGCTCCCGCACCCCTCGGCGCTGTCCGTCCGTCCGTCTGTCTGTCTTCTCTTTCCCCTGCCCTTCCCCCAGGGCAGCATCTGCTGACGGATTCGGTCCTGGTGTGTGACTGTTGTGATCTGTTGTTCTGTGCGCGAAAGGAAGGGGGCTTGTTTTGGGTCCCTTCCAAGTGAGATTGTAAATGTAGAATTTGCCACTGTTGAATCTAGTTTTTTTTTTCTTTCTTTTCTTTTTCATTTCTTTCTTTCTTTTTCTTCTTCTTCTTCTTTCTTTTTCTTTTTCATTTTTCTTTTTTTGGGTTACAGCGACCTTGTGCATGCATGTAGAAAATTGTAAAATGTAAATTTTTTTTAATATATAAAAAGCTTGTTTTTACAGTTTGCAGTGGATCGAAACATAATGGCAATTTTAGTTTTTTTTTTCTTAAACATAGGAACTAAAACTGTACAAATTTTTTTTATATAAAATAAAGACATTTGACTTTTGTGGGGGCATTCTGATGTTTTTCTTTTCCTACTGGAGCAGGAGAAGTTGTTGGCCAAGTATGTGCTCCGCGTAGGGGGAGAGCGGCCAGCAGGGGGCAGTGTGAACTCACCATTGCTCTGCTGCCTGACCCCCCCCCCCCCCCCCCCGCCCAGGCTCTTAACTACCCGCTCCAAACCCAGATTCCAAGAAGTGAAGATTCCGCTGCTCCCTGCGTGGGTAATCAGGATAGGGAGGAAGGAAAGATTACCTTCTGGGTGGACCTGGAGTATTTTCAGGAAGTTGGTGATTTCAGTCAACAGTGATATCTCGTCAAATCTCACTGGGAAAAATTCCTGAAGTATCTCTCTTCTAAATATCTTCTCTCTCTCTTTTTTCTTTAATGATTTTTTTTTTTTTTTGAGAGAGAGAGAGAGAGAGCACAAGAGGGAGGAGGGTCAGAAGCACTCCCCACTGAGTAGGAAGCCCGATGGGGGGCTGGATCCCAGGATCCTGGGATCATGACCTGAGCCAAAGGCAGACGCCTAGCCCACTGAGCCCCCTAGGTGCCCCTCTTCTAAGCGTCTTCTTATTCCTGCCATTCTCTAATCTTTCAGGCATGGCACAAAAAGAATCTTATAGCAATAGTCATTTATTTAAGATGGAAGCATTCAGTTGGCAGGATGCTTGTAGCCAAGCACCAGAGTCGCTATTAGGAGATCAGGGTCCTTCTCTCAGCTCTGCCCAGGTCCCCGCTTCTCTGGGACTTTGGGCACCAGGCTTCGCCCACAAGCAGCCTTCTGGGGTTAACGACAAATAAGCAAGCAATTGTAAGCTCTCTTGGAAATTGACCCATTTCCTGGATTCTGTCTTCCTCTCCCCGGTGCACACTTTGCCAGGCTGAGGATGCAAAGACAGAAGACTGGGCCTTGTCCCGCAGGAAGAGCCAAGTGCACACGCGGCCCCAGGCTAGAGCGCTCAAAGCACCGGTCCAAATGCTGCGTGCCTCGTTCACGGGCAGAGCACACACAGGCACAGGCCAGACTCCGAGCAGCTCAGGGAGCCTTCCTCCAAGAAATTTCCAGAGTTTGCTGAAGAATCAAGTTTGGGTGACACGGCCTCCTTGAGCGAAGGGGCTTTCTCTGTTTCGTTCACCAAAGTACTCCTGGGATCTGCAGCGTTCCTCACGTACAGTTCGCGCTCAATAAAAAGAAAATTATTGAATGAGTAATGAATTAAAAAAGCTAACCAAATGGTGGGGGCACATGACAGGCGTCGTGTTTTTCTTCTCCCTTTAAAGTTGTGCTCCCATCTTTCTCATGGGAAAATGAATAAAAACACTCGCCTTGAACTGTCATCCCCCAGCCTCGTGACTGTCCTTCTGGGAATTAGACTTGTAGTTTCACTTACTGTTTCCAGTTCGCCTCGAAGCCAACTTTTGACTTACTGTGACCAAACTTCTGCCCTTGCCCGCTTCTGAAATTATTCTCGCTCTTCGAGGCGAAGCACAGCAAAGACCTTGGTCTAGTGAGGCTTTATTCAGTGCCCATGATGCCCCCAGCCGTGTCTTTAACCTCCCAGACCTCCTCCTCCACTAAAACGGGCCCCAGGAATGAAGAGATTCAAGGCCAGGTCTCAGCACCTGATCTGCGGGATCCTATCTTCTCTTGGGGTTTGCTGAATGAGGAAGTGATAGCCCTGACCATTGTCAGGGCGCAAAGGGCTTTTGTAACTGCTGAGAGGACACACTTTTTCCACGGAAGTACTTTCCAAATCACTCAAGCCCGAGTCCGCTCGGGCGCTGTCGGGATATTGCCGGACTTCTGGACATTTCCAGCCAGATGTGGTTTTCCAGCCTTTGCCCCTGAAATGAGGCCAAAGGGAAAACCC